ATTTAAGCAATTGTATTTTGTTTTGTTTGACCAAATCCTTTGGCTGGAGGTATCAGTGTTCTTCCAATTAAAACATTTTTACTGATAATTCAGCTATGAACGCAGTGTGAGGCGTTATCTCTTTTGAGTGAGGTTTAATGACTTGAAAAGGGGCAATTCCATACAAAAGTAAACCTTACACCTAAATTTTAAAATTAGTTGCATTAATAACAAATTTGGTATCAAATTAAAGAAGAAAATCTAAAGTTTCAGGAAATAACGTTTTTTTTATTTTTTTTATTTTAAACCGGTCACATTTTTATTTAAAAAACAAATTTTATGTTTTTTTCCCCTTAAAAAATGTAAATTTTGGTAATTTTATGGAGGCTGATTCAGGGTTCTAAAGTATATTTTTTACCCATTTCTTTAATGGTTTTGTGAACATTAGCATCTAAATATTAGATTTTATAATTAAAAAAATGTTTCCGTACTTTGTTATTCTTCAGTGATTCAACGATATACCAGCATAAACCATAAAAGTACTATTTTTAAAAAATGTTTTAAAAAGTACTGGAAATAAATCTTTTTAAATTAATAATTAAATCATGAAAATACAGCTGAAATATATGCACATAAATTAAACAAAAAAAAATCATATTTAAAATAAATTATGACCGTTTTAAATTTGTCATGAAGTTACTTTTTTGGTAACTTTGTGACAGTAACAGCATGACATCCTATTCTTTTGTACAGAAATATCTAATTTGGTTTATTTGGGTGTGGTGTATGTTTGAGTAAATTTGAAAAAACTGTATTGGCTCAGGCTGGTCTAATTATAATGCAAATAATTCAATTTTATATAACTATGCCAATAAATAACTGTTCAAAATTGTAATATTTTATGCAAATAAAAAGTAATAAAAAAATAAAACAATCACGTAAATGACTATTTCATCTATATTTTAAATTAGGCATGTTATTCATGTACCTACAGATAGCCCAAAAGTGGGCAAAGTTCGGGCCACATGCGGCCCATCTGTAATTTTTTTTGTGGAAAATTAATTACAAATGTGTGTGGCCCGCCAACAACCTTTGGCTAGAAAACAGCTTGGTTTTTGCGGCCCTGCACCGATCGTCTGTTAAAGGTACGGTAATAGTTGAGCATAAAGTCGCAATAAAACAGTGGATGAAGAGTTGTGGAAGTGCACTGAAACATCAAAGTTTGGGTGCGGCCCTCGGAGTTGAATCGAAAATTCACTTTGGCCCTCCAACCAATTTTGATGCTATAGCCATTCATCAACAACTTCCCGGCATTGTGTATATGGTATTTATTTGTTGACTTTTTTTTTTTTTACAGTCTCTTACCATGCCATTAATGAGCGCTGAGAAGCAGCGCAATTACAGAGAAAGACTAAAAGAAAAAGGCCTATTAACAGAGAAAAAAATAATTAAAGGCGTAACAAGAAGAGATCTATGATGTCACATAGTGAGCTAAAGAAAGTTCGGGCCCAAGAAAGAGATCGTCAACGTGAACGTAGAAAAAAACTGAAAAAAACAGGCAGAGTTGGAGAATACTCCATTATGTACAGCACTCACGACAAAGCCTTGGAAAAGCTGTATCGCGTGCAAGAAAGGGTCTTCCCAGAAGAGAAGGGGAAATGTTTAAGAAGGATGTCATTAAACAACTTGTTAAGATATATGATGTTGACATGGAGGAGAATGAGAAAGACAGAAGAGGTGGCTTTAATAGGATAACTGACAATGTACATCTAAAGAAATCACATCTTTTTACTGCCGCGATGTCATATCTTGCAAAGTCCGAATAGGAAAGACTCCTGCATTAAGAAAAATGATGACGGAACAAAGGACTACATTCAGAAGCGTTTCCTCATATTTACGTTAAAGGAATGCCACAGCCTGTACCTCGAAGAACACCGTGAAATGCCTGTGTCGTTTTCAAAGTTCTCGTCCATGCGTCCTGACCATGCACTTTTGTCAAAGGACTTCCTACACAATGTATGCATATGCTGATACCACGAAAATGTACGTTTGCTTTTAGAATGTCTACACAAGTCGGTAAAATCACAAGAAATCCCCACACGTCTTCAAGAATTTATTGCCTCAATTGTCTGTGACCAGGAAAGTGAACAATGCATGTTTGGCAAGTGTGATACTTAGAAATAAATTTGATATAACTTACAGCAATTGTGAAGAGCATGGGGCAACAGCAGAATGGTTGCAGTGGATAAGCGTTGAAGGCAGATGGCTAAAAGTTCTACACAATGGAACAATACAGGAATGTCTAGACCAGCTGAAGAATCTCCACGCTCCGTTTCTAGTACATACCTTTATAAAGCGAAGACAAAGCGAGCATTTCGAGTCGGAGAAAGCTAAAGTAAATGGCAAGCATATTGTATTACAGATTGACTTCGCCGAGAACTATTCTATTGTTCAACAAAATGAAATTCAAAGTGGACATTGGGCTCATGACCAGGTGACGCTGTTTACTGCTTGTGCACATATTAACACCGAATGTGTCAGATCATTTGTTATTGTGAGTGATGACTTAGTTCATGGCAAATATGAAGTTGCTACATTCCTAGACCGCATCATTCTCAATCTAAAGCAAGAATTCCCTGACATAGAGTTCATTTCATTCTTCTCTCGACGGTGCAGCCAGCCAATTCAAGCAGCGGTATCTTTTCACCAATATATCACATTACAAAGAGCTCTACAACATAAATCTGTCCTGTAATTTTTTCGCCATGAGTCATGGGAAGGGAGCAGTAGATGGTATTGGTGAGAACATTAAGAAGACAGTATGGAATGCAAGCCGTACAGGAGCCCACATTCATAATGTACAGTCATTGGCAACAGCAGCAAAAAGGGCTAAGGCAGTCAATGTAATGTTTGTTTCCAAACAAGATGTGGATTCCTCAAAAGCTGATCTTGATTTGAGATGGGAAGGTGTTGTAACTTTGCCAGTATTCTGCACCCGTGTCAAAAGAGCTCAAGACAGGCAGACTTTCCAGCAGTTTGCGCAATGAGTTTGCAAGAAATGTGTGTTCCATGATCAGAGTCCACAAGTGAATCCCACTAAGAGTGAAAGGGAGCATGTGTGTTGTCAAATAAGAAATATCCATTCTTGGCAGGCACCATGGGTTCGGGCATAGTAAGTACAATCATCTAACTAAAACCCTTATAGACAAATGTCTTGCAAGTACTGATAGTGACATAAGATTCTAAATAGTAGTGAAAAATGCACTGGCATTTTTATGTGGTTTAAAAACAATAACAAAAGTATATTTAATTATGGCCTTCTAACCAATAACCTGTATTCAAAAATTAATGAATTCTTTATAGACGAAGAATGTTGGTATCACTTAGGTAGTGACCACAACGTAGTCATTATTGACATAAATCATGAATACAACAATCTTGGTAATACGCATAAAAATGTTAATAATAAGACTTTTTGGAACATAAAACAAGATCAAAATTGGAGACCATTTCAGGAAGATATCAACAACAAATTTGAAAACTGGGATCCTTCAAATTTAAATGCTAACGAAGCATGGAATCAATGGAAAAACCATGTATTATCCACAGCTGAAAATTGTTTTGGATACAAAAAGACGAAGAAAACCCATAAACCATGGTTCGACAAAGAAATTGAAACATTAATTAAAAAAAGAAGAGTGGCGTGTCAATCACATCGCCATTATTCTAAAAATAAAGATTCCCCTGAATTTGACCAAGAAAGGTGCAATTTATTATGAGATGAATACCAACATAGTCGTAAAGAATGTAAATTAATGATCAATAAGAAAATAATGCAAAGTCGTGTTAACAAATGTACAAAACTTGCAAAAAAAGGAGGGGTCCAGTGCAGTGATTTTTGGACCATGTTAAAGGGTAATAAGAAAACCAATAATATAAATTCTGTTATTATTCCTAATACCCAAACAATAACATCAGATAAATAAACAATTAAATCATCACTAACTGAGCATTTCAAGGCCCTTGGTAATAAAAATATAATCCCTGAGGATAGCACATCTATAAAATCACTTTTAGAAAATGATTTTTTGAAATGTTAAAGAACGGAGGAAATGGCATGATTAGATCACTATATATTTTATTTAAAAGGTTGAGTGAACTCAAGACAATTCCAAACGACTGGAATGTGGGTGTCATAGTTCCAATATTTAAGAAGGGTGATCCCAAAGACCTTAGCAACTACAGAGGCATTACACTCAACTCATGTGTTGCTAAGGTTTACAACTGCATTATCTCCCAAACAGTGTCAAATTTCTTAGAAGAGTTTAATGTCTTAAGTAAGTGCAAGGCGGTTTTAGAGAGGATAGAAGGTGTGAAGATCATATCTTCACACTTAAAAGCATCATTAGCACACGACAATCAGAAGGCAAAAAAACATTTCTTGCATTTTTAGATTTTAAAAAAGCATTTGACACTGTTTGGAGAGAAGG